GATCCTTCATCATGAATACTACATTCAGTGTTGACTCACAATAATTATTATTGCCTAATTTCATCATCAATACGACTGTAAAAAGTTTTTTACTAGAAAAATGTAAGAAATTAAAGGAGCTCAGCTCTTAAGTGACACTGTTGCTGTGCTGTATGACCTTCCTTGCTGCTAGAGAAATTTTTGGATAGTAGTATGGTCTCATCTTGCTGTGCGTTTCTGCAAATGAACATAGGCACCATTTTTAAATTGTGACCACACCCACATTCGATGAATTTAACTTTAATAATAGTGATAATTGTTTTTTGTGCTCAATGTTTATCTAGTCAGACTAATATTTATACCTCAACTATCTACTGTCCGACAAAAAGATGTACTCTCATTCAAGTTATCTTGTATACCCTTATGATACACGAAGTGCATGGGTCAATATGTAGTTTATCTTGTAGCAACATTTGAAGAGTAAAGATATTGAAGAATAAATGTGTAAAACTGGCTTTAAAATGCTTGACAATTTAGAGTAATATGTTACTTGGCAGTACTTTTAGCATCTCCATGCCAGCATGGCTTTGGAGACCCCAGGTAGCACCACGTGGAGGTAGTACTGCATTGCCACTCACCTATTTAAGAAAAATGATGAAACATGTTTTATGTGCGAGCAAATTTTACTTTTACATCAGTGAAGCTGATGTGCTGTAGAATCTTTCTAAAGTTCAAAATAAATAAAATAAGAAATTTATTACTTGTACTATATAAGGTTGAAATCGACTAAATCATAGTGATTTCTTGCATTTGTATGAAACAAATATATATTAAAGTCAAATATGTGATGACAACTTTTATTATAAAAGTGGTTTAAATGTACACCACGAGCGAATTATTTTATGCGTTGACAGTACCAAAATATGAACCTTTAATTGAAACACAGTTGAAGCAATAACAATTTCATTTTCCGAAGCCCAAGTACCAAATTGGTTTAATTTTTTATGTAATATATATGTCCTCATTGCACTCACAGCAATTTCACTAGCAATATCATGCACGTGTGGTAATACTAAGTTTGATAATTCTAAGGCATTGTTTGTCATGAAAGTACAAATAATTAATCTAATTAGTATATGATTTCTTTCAGTCCCAGTTACAGCTTTAGAGATTGCTCTGTAAAAACAGTTAACATCTCCTTTAATTTTACGACAGATATGAGGACATATTTCAGCATGATTAATAGTTTTAAGTGGATCAGTAGTACCTACACTAACAGTCTCCCCAGTATAATCCTGTATCAATAAAGCAGCAGAATTCATCCAGTCTGTGGAAGGTGTTTTGCCTACTGTTAAAGGCATCGCACTTCAGATTTGATATACTCAACATCAGGAGACTTACCTCTGTTTCTAGGATTGAGTGCACATGATTGTTGGTGTGAAGATTTTTCAATACTGCAAGTACATTTAACACTACTGATTATAAACTCTTCTAAATCACTATCTATACCAGAGCTATTCAAAATGCTATTATCATTACCATCAGAAGTAGAAAGTAAGCTTTCATCATTATCACTATCATCTGATGTTAAATTACATCCAATTTGATCAATTACCTTATTATTTGCAATACTTTCATGCACAAACTCTGCCACTAATGAACCATACTCACTACCTAAATTATCAGTTATACTTAATTTACCTTCTTTTATCCTACATTTAATCTCTCTGTCTCGTTCTACTTTTCTTTTACGAGATGATTTTGGCGTTTCCTTACCATATGTGTGACATGTCTTAGGTAGCTGAAACCATAATTTACGTGTAGCTTGTTCAGATTGCCTATGCCTTTTCTTTGCTTTTCTTCTGTTACGCTTCACATCACACTGTTTGACTCTTGAAAGAGTTTTTAACCTAGAAACATTTAATGCTTTTAATGCTTCAGCCATACCATCAAACCTAGGAAAGCTCATTTTTCAAAAAGATCAAGTAACCAATGGTAAGCTGGCCCCTTGTGCACATACATCCAGGACATGTTACTCTGTATAAGCCCAAGTGAAGTGAAAACATAGTAGTGAAGCATCTGAAGATTTAAATTTTTTGTTCTAAACTGCAGCAATACATTATGAGATGATTCAGTTATACTAGTGTGGCAACAACCTAACTCCTCATGAATAATTTGTTTTGATTGGGCAATAACAGCTTCACATGCAATTTCGTATGCAAGACTATGAAATGGGCAACTTAAAATATTCTTAGTTTTGTATGGCTTACCTCGACATGTAATGTCATTTTTCTTACATTTTCCACAATTACACACGGTTAAATTGTGAAAGAAACATTTCCCACCATCCCATTCATGCATATTTTTGGCATGGTACTTAGCTAGTGCTCGAAGTCTGTCTATAAATGCTTGTTGGTCACAGCCAACAGACTTAACTATAGCAGAAAAGTTTATCCTAGCTGTCTTAATAAAACCATTAGTAAAACAACCAATGTCATCTTTCATGCAGTGACACTTTACTGTAGGAATATCGGGGTGAGTTTTTTTGTACTTTTTGATTTGGCTTTTTTAAAAAAGTTTTTGCTTAGCAAGCCTTTTTAAATGCTTTTTGTGATTTCGTGCAATGTGACCACTACACAAAACTACTCTACAATTAAGAAAATTGGAAAGCAAAGCTTTTGAAGAAGTGCTGTCATTGTCTTGCACACGAATGCTAATGTTCATTTTATCAGTTATAGCTTTTTTAAAAACCCACTCAGCCCCAAGTCCCTCTGCAGATTTTGATGTACCTTCAAACAATTCTTCTGTTATATCACTGTTACCTCTTTGACTAAAATGCTTACTGTACAAAAGCCCCCCAGTTCGATAGTTTCGTAGAGTATATGTAGCATTTTGACTATGGTAACCACGTGTTAGCCAAGCAGCATCACCACATGTCACAGCATTTTCAAAAGACCCAAGCTCACTGTCATTCTTCTGCTTCATTGATTTTTTTGCTTGCTCACACATCATTTAGTATACTCTTGACATGTGGGTACATTAAAGCCAGTGTCTTATAATACATTGATTTTCCTGTGCAGTACATGCCAAGAGAATTTTTAAGTGCTTTAGCATATTGAGAATACATTGCGCCTGAACATATAAATGCAACTTGCATGGTAAGACCAACTGCTGTACAGTTTTCAGTCTCATGCTTAATTGAGCTCTCAAAAGCAATACATCTCCCAGCACAACCAGTACAATCATATTGTAAAGTAACACAACCTTGTTGACCAATCATACTAACACAAACAAGTTTTAACTTACTATTACATAATGGTGTGGCACATTTGGAAGTTAAATTAATCTGATCCATAAATTTACACATTTGGCTTACTTGACCCAAGAAGATTGAATTACTATTAGGTAGTTCACCAGAGTTGCGTCCTTCAGGAGTATCCAAGCTGAAATCAGGATCATTTTTTTCAAAATGTATTGGAGTGACCTCCATTGTTCCATCTGAATCGCTTTGATTCTCCCTTTTTGGTGTAGCTGTCACATCAACTTCCTAAAATAGAGATAAAGAACAATAAGACTGCATGGCATGTATTGTTGGGCCCAATAGGTATATATAGCCATATAAATGCTAATTAAATTTAATTACAAAATGGTGGGGTCCTTAATATAGCCCTCGGGATATATCCCATGAACACCGACTTCAAGTCTATATCATGCATCCTTTCACACCAACCTCAGATCTATTTAGTACGTTTTAGGATGCCATCGATTGAAAGTGCGGCAGAGCCATGCTGCCTACCTCATTTCTATCATTATCTTCAGCGATATGAGATCTAGTAGGGGAAATAGATGTTGCAGCTGTTGAAGATCCGGTTCTGGCAGTCCACCTAGCCTTATGAAGAGCTTCAAATCTTTTCCTTTGTTTCCTTCGTGTCATTTTACTTTAAATTGTTTAATTAGCAATTCACAGTGTGACTATGATGCAAAAATTTATCCTCAGACAATGAATACTGCGTTTATTCATGAGGTAGCTAATTCCTTTGCTGCAGTAAGATGGCTGCAAATGAAAATAGTAGCTTTAGGCCTTAAAACACCTTACTATTATAAAATTAATGACAATAATTATTTATTTCGCAACTGAAATTATCTTACCAAAACAAACACA